AATCCGACAATTCTTGGGCCTTGCCGGGTATTACCGAAGGTTCATACAAAACTTCTCGAGGATTGCTAAGCCACTTACCACCCTGACTCAGAAGGGTGTAACCTTCAGCTGGGGAGAAAAACAAGATGTTGCATTCCAAACATTGAAGTGAGCTCTGTGTAGCGCACCTATGTTATCTTTGCCAGAAGGAACAGAAGACTTTGTGGTCTACTGTGATGCGTCAAACCAGGGACTTGGATGTGTCCTAATGCAACTAGGGAAGTTCATCGCATACGCCTCGAGACAACTCAAGACACACGAGGTCAACTATACCACGCACGATCTCGAACTAGGAGCAGTCGTTTTCGCTCTAAAGATCTGGAGACACTATCTCTACGGCACAAGATGTACAATCTTCATAGATCATAAAAGCCTTCAACACATCCTCAATCAAAAGGAACTCAACATGAGACAAAGGCGGTGGGTAGAACTACTAAACGATTACGAATTCGAAATTCAATATCATCCCGGAAAAGCTAATGTAGTAGCAGATGCCCTCAGCCGAAAGGAATACTCGGGCCGCCGAGTGAAATCTTTAACCATGACGATCCATTCACACCTGTCCACACAAATGAAGGAAGCTCAAATAGAAGCCTTGAAATCCGAAAATGTGGCGAATGAAGCCTTAAGAGGAATGGATAAGAATCTTGAAGTCAAGGATGACAAAGTTCGTTACTTCATGAATCGGATCTGGACGCCGAAGTTTGGCGGATTCAGAGATGTTGTTATGAATGAAGCCCATAAGACTCGATACTCCGTACATCCCGGTTCAGATAAGATGTATCTGGATCTCAAGAAACTGTATTGGTGGCCAAACATGAAAGCCGAAATTGCTACCTATGTAGGCAAATGTCTGACTTGCGCCAAAGTCAAGGTAGAGTACCAAAAGCCCTCAGGATTGTTGCAACAACCGGAAATACCCGAGTGGAAGTGGGAGCGGATAACCATGTATTTTATAACCAAGTTACCCAAGACAGCGGGTGGACTTGACACCATCTTGGTGATCGTCGATAGGTTAACCAAATCCGCGCACTTCCTACCAATAAAGGAAACGGATTAGCTGGAGAAACTAACTAGAACATACATCAGGGAGATTGTACGACTGCATGGTGTACCAATATCCATTATCTCGGACCGAGATAGTAGATTCACCTCGAGGTTCTGGCAGTCACTACAAAAATCTCTAGGAACGAGGCTAGACATAAGTACCGCCTACCACCCGCAGACCGACGGTCAGAGTGAGAGAACCATTCAAACCTTGGAAGATATGCTAAGGGCTTGTGTGATCGATTTTGGTAAAGCTTGGGATACCCATTTACCATTGGTTGAGTTCTCGTCAACAATAGCTATCACACTAGCATCAAGGTTGCTCCATTTGAAGCCCTCTATGGCCGCAAGTGCAGATCACCTCTGTGCTGGACTGAAGTGGGTGACACGCAACTTGCTAGAGGTCAAGTACCTGACAACACTCTCACTGAAGTGGGTGACACGCAACTTGCTAGAGGTCATAAGAAGAGTTACGCAGACCGACGACGTTCAGAGCTAGAGTTCCAGGTCGGAGATTTAGGAAGCGGGGCAAGCTGGAACCTAGATACATCGGTCCTTTCAGAGTGATCGATCGAGTGGGTAAGGTAGCTTATCAGTTAGAGTTGTCTGCAGAGTTACCTGGAAAGGCTAATGTGGTAGCCGATACCCTGAGTCATAGGGCAGCGAGTGCTCCGATTTGAGATGTGTGTATGACGATGACGGTGATGACTCCAGTCTTAGATACCATCCGAGAGGCCTAAGTGGTGTCCATGAGAAGGATCCCTTGGATCCAATATTCTTTCAGTGTTAGCTGTCATTTGGAGGTAAAAAGATATCACATTGACCATTTGTTTGTTAGATCTCTTCACTAGGGAGTTTAGGGCCATTTCCATCTTCTCTTTGAGTCCTTTAGTTTTTTGAGCATGCCTTGAAGATGAGACTTCAGATATGGACAATATGAGGTCCCTTTGGCCAAAAGATTCAAGCTTTGGACAACTTTCATGCCTTAAACCCTCTATTGAGCTTTGGGTTGGCAAACTTAGCCCTAGATGCCATGTACGAACGTAAAGCTTGCAGCTTTACATGGTATTTTAGCCTTGGGAGGGTAGATCTAGAGTATGGGGCTTTAGTTTTGCTTAAAACGTCTGAATGAGAGAATGTACTGAAAGGACTCGACGATTTGGTGAGCCAACTCGACGAGTTGGTTAGGGTTTTCTCCAGTAGTCTGGACGCGTACGAACTCGGCGAGTTGAAGATGGATTTTCCCGATAATTCAGAGAATCGAAGGAACTCGATGAGTCGCATAGATGCACTCGACGAGTTGGGTCAACATGACTGTTGACTCAAGTGTTAACTTTCATTGACGTTTAGGGTTTGGTCAAGTTATGGATTATGGAGACCATGGAGGGGTAAAATGGTCTTTCACCCTTTCCGAGAGTTAGAAAATGGGTTAGCTTAACATCTTTAGAGTTGTTGTTATAAAGTGTTAATTAGAGATGATTATGATATGTAGGCCGAGTCTAGACCGATCGTTGAGTACAAGACCTACTTGCTTACGTACGACTTCTCACTATACTTACCTGAGTGGTAATACTGTGTGACCGGAGGGTCTTATTTGAGTTATTGACCGAAGGGTCTTATTCGAGTTACTGTCGGAGGGTCTTATGTGCTTATTCTGAATTATTTGATATCATGCATTTTGTCTTTGTGATTTATGTTGTATATTATTCTGTTCCTTATTGAGTTAGAACCGGAGAGTCCAAACTGAGTTGTGAGACCGGAGGGTCTTCACTGAGATACCAGACTGGAGGGTCCGACCCGAGCTGTGAGACCGAAGGGTCTTCACTGAGACATATGACCGGAGGGTCCTTATTGAGATATAGTCATGAGAGACTAATTATTTATGTGTGGTATTTTGGGGGACCTCACTAAGCTTCGTGCTTACAGTGTTATGTGAAATGTGTTTCAGGTACCTCTCAGGATCGCGGGAAGGCAGCAGCTTGATTGTACACACCAGCATGAGATTATGTTTTGAGGATTATGGGATGTTCTTAAACATTTTGTTGTCTTGTATTGTGAATAACTTATACATTTTGGTTTTTGAGAAAATGAGATTGTGTTTTATGAGGTTTTAAAAATGAAAATTTTGTTTAAAAATTTAGAGTGTTACATTGATTGGCCTATTTGGTTAATTAAATCAATTCAATATATGATTGGTCTTCATATATTTGGTCGTACATTAACTTACCCACTTTTCTATTTAACCCTAGGATTTTGGTTAAAACACTAGTCTTACAATTTTGCAAATCACAAGATCATAAGATTCAAGTTTATTAAGAATGTTAGGTCACACAAACTTAATTAAACTCGGCAATAAACAGAAAAGTAGTTATCATAAATATAGATAGGTTCTTTAATAAGCTATCATAACAAATAATCAACATAACATAAAACAATCCATTAATCAACTCATAAATAAGCAAGTAATGTAGTCTAAACGAAAGTTAGGGTATTTATCCCATAACATCAGCAAACAAACATGTAAAAATGAAATTTAACTTGTAATCCATGATCAAACACAAGAAGAATAAGTAAATATAAGAAGTATTGACTCAAATCTCTCAAAATCAAGCTTCTAATCGATCTTCTGCGCTTCCAAGCTTCCAGATAACATTCCAGGCCTTCAAAAGTCGACTAAAGCTCTAGCAAAAGTTAGGTTTTCGCAGAAATCTAACTTCTATATATATTGTTCTCAAATTCGGTACACGAGGTCGTCGTATGTCCCACCACGGCGTGGTCTTTAGGTTTATCGTGTAACCAGCAAGTCTTCGAAGTTCTCGGGAGATTTCAAAATGTCACGTTGTGGTGGATGTCACCACGACGTGGTAAACAGACTTTTCTTCCTTGATCCAAGTTCCTAGCTTGTAGCTTTCTTTCTTTTCGTTTCCGAACATGTCTTTTCGTTCTACAACACAACATATAATAGGTTAAGTATCTTTTGTCCAACAATGACCATAAAAATGGCTAAAAATATTAAAATATGATTTAAAATATATATGTAGATATGCACATATCAAATGTAAAGTTAAAAGATCATTCATGCAATTTACTCTTAAAGAAAAGTTATAAACATACTAAGTTATTTTTAGCGGCGCATTGATATTTTAGATATAACTAATTAAGGTTACTAAACAACTAATGGTCTACTGATTAAGACACTAACCTTCCATTGATATTTTAGATATAACTAATTAAGGTTACTAAACAACTAATGGTCTACTGATTAAGACACTAACCTTCCATATGGGAGGTCCAGTGTTCTTGAGGATTTCAACTAGGAATTAGCATAGAAGGTATGCAACATGTTTTACTGTCTTAGCATATCGTTTAAATGACAAGCCTCCCTTTATCTTAGGAAAAGAATGGAGCTGTAGCGGGCGGCTAGAAAGCCATTTTTATCTAGGTTGCTAAAATTCGTGTATAAAATTGTATGGGTATTAATTTGTCGCTAGTCCATCGGGTGTTTAGAAATCCGGAATTATAATTTTTTCCGTTGCTAATTTGTCAATAATAGTGATGGAAACACTACCCTATCTTTGTATCAATGTATAAATTAATTTTTTGCGATACTCTGATTGATCAAGAGAAAAATGCATTCAGACAAAAGTCGAGAACGACGCATTTTAAAGAACTAAATAGCCCGACTTGGTTTTTTATCCATTTAAGGAAAAGGGCACTTCCTGAAGGGATACTCTTGGTGTGAAACTTCTGGGAAACGAAATCTTTTTTTTTCCTTCACTGATACCATCGATCCTTTATTATGTATAGATATCGAATATCAGAATTTGAACCTATATATGATCCCTTGACGATGTTTTTGGATGGACAAAACAGACCCACTTTGTTCTAGAGTTGTTGAGTGAAAAAATGAACTTGCTTTTACATTTGGTGTGTTAATAAGCAATAATGGATATTAAGTATGAGGGATTGAACAGGCTATAGATGAGTTTAACTTTTAACATCGAACAAAAAGAAACCCTTCTTGAAGGGTATGCAACCAAACTATAAAAACTAACTCTTTCCCTCCAGGAGGGAGGAAACATGGTGTCATTGGCTAAAAAGAAGGACCCGCATGTGGGGTCTTTACCATCAGTGCCAAAATCCCTCATTTATGTGGCTAATATACGCGAAACAGACAAATACAAAGAGACAACCATGGCCTCTCATTCTTTATTTCTCAACTTGCAGTTCCTTCAAATCTACTCTCTTTTGGAGGGTTTCTTTCACTTTTTGGGCGTTTTCAAAATGGAATTATTGATATTGTTCATTTCAAGCATCTTTTTCTCCCTGTATTAGACCCAATGATTTAGCCAAATTTATCTTTTCTTTGGAGGAGGATCTTCCTTCATATTCGGGGCATAAATGTGTCGGGCTATGTGTCGTTTACCTTGATACTTAATAGATTCTTTGATATCTATCTTACATATCAAGACAAACCCTCACAAATATTAGCTCGTTTCTTTTTATCGCTAGCCTCTATTTAATTTCTTACAATATTATCCTCTAATTATTGACAAAAAATTGTTGCTTACAAAAATTCAACCAACTCGTACACCACTGTGATCATTTGCGTCCACGAATCCGTTTAAAGGCACACATAAACGGACCGATGACAACGCCTTGTTGAAGTGTTTTGCTTTTGTGCCAAGATACTCGCTCCATGTAACTGGTCGGTAAAGAGGTGGGTGAACATGATCTATTAGTTTTGAAAGAGGTGAGATTTGAACATTAGATGGTGGTCCGTAGAGATAAGCCACTGACAAGCGGTGTTGGGTTCGGTTCACCATGGCCCGGTGCAGCACACTTGGATACAACCCGTTGGATAATATGTGGAGGAGGTCACCTACATTGACCACAAGGGCACCAGGTATCGGTGGGACTGTCACCCAACCGGCTCCTTCCCTGTGAGCCTGGAGTCCGCTTGTGTTGTTTTGGTAAAGGATGGTTAAGAGGGTCGAATCTGTGTGAGCCGCCAGACCCATGGCTCGGTCTGGATCAGGACAAGCTGGGTATGAATTTAACTGTAAAGCTGGACATGATCCTTGTGATCCATCCCATTTTACGTCTTCCGTTGTTACACCCAAGGATCCCAGCATCAACCACATCAGTCTTTGAGCTAAGTTGTTCATCTCGTGTTTATACCCTTCGATTACATCGCTGCACAATATTAATCACCAAAGTCATATGTGTGTGTGTGTGAGAGAGAGAGAGAGAGAGAGAGAGAGAGAGAGAGATGTTGGATTTGGAAATTTCGACTACAGTATGCGTTATCATATAATAATTTTTTTTCTTTTAATGTGCGTACTCTAGCATCTAGTTCATCATCCATCCGTATGTAATTTATGCATCAAAATGGAAGGATTTATGTTTACCAGAATCTACTATAACGGTTGGGCCAGAGTTTACGAGCATGTTCGTATGGAGATCCAATGATGGTGAATCCTTCAGACCACATGAGTTTGGGAAAAAACGACGATATTCTTGCAACGCCATAGCCAGATACACCGTCTGGTGCTCTAGCAGCTTTAAGCTTCTGTTGGATAGGAAGTGCAAATAGTTTTCTACCAGCATCCTCCATTTCTTGAAGAAGATTTGTAGGGACGCCATGATTGGTGACCTGAAACACCCCCCAAGTCTTGCATGCATGGCCCACAAGTTTCATGGCCTTTGGATCTTTGAGGTTAATCACAGGAACTTGCTCGGAAGTGGATGAACCATAAGAAGGAGAGCCATCTTGTGATAACCATGCATGCGATTCAGGCAATTCTTTCATGGATTTTAAGTCTAAATGCTTCTGATTTACCATCGGCTGGGCTTTGAAAGCATCAGCTACTTTTGTATGCATGTCGAAAAGTAATTAACACTTCTAATGGAAGATTGAAGAAGATATGATGAGTGGAATGTGATGTGTGTACTGTATATAAAGGGATGAGGGTTAAAAGGGACAAAAATGGTGGGGTATAACTGTAATCGTCGTCTTGTAGTGTGTGTATGATGGTTTTCCATTCTTAATTGATAATAACCATATATATAAACCTGGAAAATTTATGACGAAGAATTAGGTGGTGCAACAAAAAATATTTGTAGTATTGGGTAACATAAAATGTAATTGTATATATTATTATACCTTAAAGGTTAATGTCATAAAAACCCTCAAAGTTTTTAGAGTTTTGTCGGTTTTGCCCAAAGTTGAATTTTATATCCGTTTTTACCCTAACATTTTCGAAAAATGTTCGATTTTACCCTTTTACCGGTGATAACAGGTTTTCCAGGTTAACATTAAATTAAATTTGCAAAAAACCCTTAAGTTTACCGTTTTTTTGATTTTTACCCTTAAGTTTATAATTTTTTTGCACTTTTGCCCTAAGTAATTTTTTTTATAATATACGTATTAATGCAGAAAAATCGTATTTATATACGAAAAAATGATTAATTAAATATTGTATTTATATTTTTTTTAATGTTATATATATATATATATATATATATATATATATATATATATATATATATATATTTGTTTGTTTGTGTGTGTTTTTGCAAGGTTATACCCTTTAAAAATATAAATAATATTTTTAGAATTATGAGTACGTGTTTTATAGATATAGTTTTTAGAAGTATAAATACATATATTTACATTTTTATATATTAATATGTATCTATACTTCTAAAAATACATTTATACTTTTAAAAAAAACATATATCAAAATACATATTTACACTTCTAAAAATATATGTATATACTTATATAAACATGTTTATGATTGAACAAGTTTTTTTATTGATATGTATATTTTTAAATACATAAAAATACGTATTTGTAATTCTAAAAACATATTAATTTGTGTTTTTTTACATCTTAAATGGTTTATCCAAGAACCTCCCACCCTGCACACACACACACACACACACACACACACACACATATATATATATATATATATATATATATATATATATATATAAAGAAATAACATTAAAAAAATGTAAACACAATATTTAATTAAAACTTTTTCGTATATAAATATGATTTTTCTGCATGAATACGTATAATATGAAAAAAAAAATACATAGGGTAAAAGTGTAAAAAAAATAATAAACTTAAGGGTAAAAACGTAAAAGAACTGTAAACTTAAGGGTTTTTTGCGAAGTTAATATAATGATAACCTGTTATCACCGGTAAAAGGGTAAAACCGAACATTTTTTGGAAAATGTTAGGGTAAAAACAGACATAAAATTCAACTTTGGGCAAAACCGACAAAAACCCTAAAAACTTGAGGGTTTTTATGACATTAGCCCTACCTTAAATACAATCTTGGATATATGAGTGAAATACTTTGGATTGTAATAGAAGTTGTTACATTTGTGCGTAACCTTTTAGCAATAAAAATGTAGCCACGTATCTATGTTGCAAGAGTAGTATTTTTCAATGTAATGTTTCATCAAATTTTATCTTTCAATAACACACATCATTAACAGAAAAAAGGGAAACAAATTGCAAAAAAATAATGGAAACTGGAAATAACCAACATCGAATTAAGAGTCATTTTGACATATTTTTAGAAATTTTGACAAATTTGGTAATTTTAGACATCTCTATTTGTTCATTTGAAATATCATACTAAATACATATTTTTCCCTAAAAGATCATGTATGCTTTAAAGAAGACTCTTTTCTGATAGTTTTTATCTGTTGATTAAACGAAGATAGAGTTCGTGTAGTGTTAGGAACACAAATGCATTGACGGATTTTGTCATCAAGAAAGATGTTTTATTTATTTATTTTTTTTATTTTTTTTTCTATCTGATACCGGTAAATTTGTTTTGGACAAAATAGGATGAAAATAGAAAGGGTCAAATTGTCTTCTTATAAAGATTTTAAAGCATGGAAGAAGAGTCACTCTCTTATTCATGTGGCCTTGTCTTGTCTTGAAGCAAAAACACGTCTGCATCATTTGGTATTATAAGGCTAATTAGTTTCGTGTCATTTTGTGCAAAACCCATTTGTGGGCTCATAACTATTCCATTTGATACAACACCTACTTGACCCCTGCTTCATGTAATTGTTTCTTTGCTCTTTCTTTAGGAACCCTGACAACCTAATGTCCCTAAACCACGAAACCACATCAGAGACTCTAAATGCCTTAAACTTGCCTTCTCGATTATTCACAAGCTCCTAATGATCACTTATATAACATAACTTGATTCGGGCTAGATAATTTAGCCAATTGATGAAAAGAACGGTTTGTATTTAAGTTGACAGTTCATCTGTAAGTTGAGAATTATAGTTATGCATGAGTGATAATTAGATTTTATTTAATTTGATGCTGAAATATGGGAAAACTCCTAAGCAGACTGTCATTTTAAAAGTCGTGGCTTAAGTTATGATAAATATTGTAAGTGGTTGTTTTATGAGGATGTTTCAATTCTAATAACTAAATGAGGAATTATTGGTGTTGTGTATAAATAAAAGAACAGAATCTTCTAGGGAATTCGATTGGGGATTTGGGGGTTTAGAGCTCCATGGAAGAAAACATGAGCAATGGTGATGAGCCAAAAAGTAACCAATGTGGATTAATAGAGTTATTTAATTTGGTGTTGGATTGCTTCAAATAGTTGGGGTAACATCCATGCATCCCCCCCCCCCCTTTTTTTTGTTCATTTATGCTACTAAGATTTTGAGAAATGAAGAAACCCAAGGAATTTATGTGTATTAAAAGATTTGTTTGATGATCAAATAAGTTTTAGAATATAAGTTTTGGTCACTTATCTCTTAGTCTAGGATTGTAATTTACTATGAGTATAGACTTATACTGTGACTTAATTGACTTGAAAGTTCCATAAAAGGGTTAGCAATAATGTGTAGCTATGGGCAATTGCTTTGAATAGTGGCGCGTTCTGATTAGTCGCCGTAGTTGTGGTCGTGAAAATATTTCTAATGGTTGTTGATAACGTCTATTTTATACATATATTTTCGGCATTTTCTTATTATTTTATGCTATGTTTTTATATTATTTTGAATTAAAAGGTACTTATAATGATTTGAAATAATATTTTACAGATATAATATGCTATTAGAGCGAAAAGGAAGAATAAAAGACTGGAAAACGGAGTTGGATTGTAAAAATAAGGAATGATGCTGACTTAAGCTTCTACGCCCTGCGTAGCAAGATTACGCCTCACGTAGCTTGTCAAGTGGAATACGGGCTTTAAATGATCTACGCCCTGCGTAGATCAACTTACACCTAGTAGAGCATCTGTAGAAATTTGATTAAATAGCCATTTATCTTCAGCCAAATGGGAGATTGAGATTTCTAATCATCCTTGGTCGACAAGTAACACCTATATTTGCAGTTTTGAGTGTCTAGATGGCGTTCGGAGGGTCGTTAATCTGATTTGGAGCAAAGATCTGAAGGATTAAAGAGTCGATTCATGTCGGGAATGATTTGGTTTGTTGTCCGGATCACTATTAGCATTCTGTTATGATTTTCATATGTTTTACTTTCTGATTTACGGCTTCAAAACCCTATTGATTTGTGTTACACTAGATCAATCAGTGAGATTATGGATTAATTTGCTATTCGGAATATTTATTCTTATTTATTTTCTTATGTTTGCCTGATAAAAGATCCTCACGCATTAAAGTTTTAATTTTTTATTTTTATTGGTGAGAATTATTGGGATTACATGGTCATTCTATCTTGATGTTCTTGAATCATATGAATTTATGATCGTTAGATATTTATGACTAGGGTTTTGACCATAAGCCACGGTTAAATAGAAAAGTTGGTAACTTTAATATGTGAGCTTATATGTGATGACCATTCATGTATATAAGTGATATTATGAACATTAATATCAGTTTATAATTAAAGTCTTGTATAATTAGAACTAAACACTGATTTTCATGATTATTTTTTTCACTTGATCACTGAGTTAATAGTTTTGTTAAAATCAAAGGATTAGTAATTTGATCAAGATTCTAGTTATATTAGGAATCGGTGAATAATGAATAAGTATCTATTACACTTTGTAGTTAATTAGTATTTTGAGATGAAATCCTGAACCCAAAGTATGCAAAGTGATTTTTTTCCATTCAGTTTATCTACTTAGTTTATATGTTGATTTAATTATCAAAAACCCCTTTTTACTGGTTTCGTGTGTTGAGTATAACCTATAATCAAACATCCCAATAGTAGTTCACTACCGTTCCCCAAGTGTTCGACATCTGGTCATACCACATCGATACTATTGCACGATTAGGTTCACTGCCTAGTATGTGTATTTGTTCTGTTGCGAATAAAAACAGTTTTATAAATTTCAAACTCGAGCAATTAATATATATATATATATATATATATATATATATATATATATATATATATATATTCGGGGAACGATTTTCAATTGATTTGGTTCGTTTGATTATTCGTTTTTTATTTTTAATTTTTTAGTTTTATTTATTTACATTTTTTCTTTAATAAGGTGTCATTTGTCGGAAAGGTTTCTGCTATTGTTTTGCACTGATTTAATGTATAAGAAAGTACCCGATGGGCTTAGATTCAAAAATGAGCAAAATGGAGGATTTCACAGTTACGCATGGCGTAATTTTATCTATGCTCATCGCAAGGTTAAAAACTCGTGACTTCGGAAACCCGTTACACCCTCTATGCCCTGCATAACGCGATATGCTACGCCCATCGTAGTTTCACTCATGGTAAGTTTTTCTTACCTGATTCACTTTTAATTTTCACTTTTTTCTCAACACTCTCGATTGTATCGATGAGTTCTTCACATTTTGCTACGATTTTTCTTCTTCTTTTTATGAAATCAAGACAAAGGTATGTTTTTCGTTATCCCTTTTACTTAGATTGCTATTTAATT